GGCGCTGTAGTTAAGAGCTTGGATGCTAACCATAAAGGTCTGCAGTTTAAACTCACTAGTCTGCATCAGTCTACTTCTATAAAGATTTACAGCCTTCAAAACCCTATGAGGCAGTTCTACTCTATCCTACAGGGTCCCTGTGAGTTGGAATCAACTTGGTGACAATGAGAATATTAAATTGCTCAATTTTGTATAAATCCTCTTTTAACAATTGGAAGAAAAAAAAAAAAAAAGAGCTATTAAAATTTAGCAAAAGATCTTCAAGTCCTCTTGAGCCCTGAAAAGCTACATGAGGGAAATCTCTTCTCCATTTCTTCAACTATTTCTTACATGCTCTGACCCTCTGCTATTAAAGTCAGTCTCCCTTTCTGGGATAAACTTCCATTTGTCGGTGTTCCTCTTGAGGTATTGACCTAGGATAAAAGTTAAGAAAAGCTAGAATGATCAACAATATTGCTGTTGTTAGCTGCCTTCAAGTTAGCCCCTGACTCATGGCAACCCCATGCAAAATGGAAGAAAATGCTACTGGGTCCTGCATCATCTACATGATTGTCAGTGGATCAGGCAATGGTGATCCAAATGGTTTTCACTGGCTGATTTTGGGAAGTAGATCTCTAGGCCTTGCTTTCTAGGCCCTGTTAGTATGGAAGCTTCTCTGAAATCCATTCAGCATCATAGCAACATACAAGCCTCCACAGACTGAAGGGTGGTGGCTTCTCATGATCAACATAATAGATTGGGATTATTATCTTTTGTTGGACAGCACAGTTATATTCATATAGATGAATATTTCTATTATTGAGAAGTTTTTCCTTGTGGGTACTGTTCATTTCATAATCTAATCAAAGAACATTTTGTTTACAGCAGTGACCAATACTTTCATTGAGTTTAAATCCTTATGAAGAGATTGACAACAAATCAATTTAAAAATAAATATATAATATAAATTTAGGTAGTGATAATCTTTGGATCCTTGCCTCTACTCAGTTGGGTTGTTGAGAGCCCAAGATACCATTGTGCCTACCAAATAGACTTTGTCTACTCTCCTATTTCCTACATCAATATGTACAATGCTTCTGAAAACTTAAAAATTCCAGAGTGAATTGGATAACCAAGTTTGTATTATACACAGAACAGACATATTGAGAGTATTTATTGGAATCAAAAACTAAAGAGGTTTAAAATGGAAGAAAAGTCAAGTGAAAGAAAGTATCAAATCATGTCCTTTGAATTATTTTTAAAAATCTATATCTTGTTATTTTTGTTTTACTCCTCATTTAAAATTGCGAGTGTTTGGAAGAAAAAGCCCATGAGATGACTTAGTTAAAACTCCTGATTGTTTCTCAGTGTCCACAATTAAACAAATCTTTGTTAAGTACTTGTAATGTATAAGGAATTATTTTATTATTGAATCTATGCAAGTTGAATATGATAATCCTAGCCCTCAAGATATAGAAAACATAACATTGAAAATAAGACAAGCACAAACAAAATAAAAGAATACATTAAATATATTTTCATTATTTGTGATGATCCTCACACTAAAACCTCCTTCAGAAGAGAGACTTTTTTTTTTTAAAAAACTGTTTATTGTTATTTGGGTGAAATTTAACAGAGCAGATTCATGTTCCACTCAACAGTTCATCTGCATTTTGTTTCATGACATCAGTTACAATCCCCACAATGTAAAAGCTCTCTTCACATTTCCTCTTTGTGGTTCCCTTTTCCTTGTGACCTTCTTTCCCATGCATTCCTGCTTCCCTAGCTTTCTCTCTGCACAAATGCTGGCCTTCTGGTCTTTCATGGTTCATTGTTCTAGGGAGAGCATCTTCCTACTGTAATTTTTCACCTCATAGGCTTATCTGTTATTTGGCTGAGAGTTAAGCCAAAGGAATGAGTTCAAATTCCAGGCCTGGACAGTGACAAAGAGCTGTAGTGTTGGAGGTTTCATCAGTCTCTATCTGACTAGGAAAGGAAAAAAAGACTAAAATTGATGTTATAAGAGACTCTGAAAGTTGTTCTTGAACTGAGAGTAGCTAAAGGGAATGGAAGAAATGATGAAATAAAAAAACTGAACACATTTCAAAGTGTGGCTTAAGAAGACAAAGTAAAGCATTATAATGAAATGTGCAAAGACCTGAAATTAGAAAATCCAAAAGGCATTTCTCAAGCTTAAAGAACTGAAGAAAAAGTCAATCCTTGAGTCATAATAATGAAGGATTCTAAGGGCAAAATATTGAACAATGCAGGAAGCATCAATAGAAGATGGAAAGAATATACAAAGTCAATGTATCAAAAAGAATTGGTTGACATTCAGCCATTTCAGGTGGTAGCATATGATCAAAACCCAATGGTATTGAAAGAAGATGTCTAAGCTGCACTGAAGAAATTGGTGAAAAATAAGGCTCTTTGAATTGATGCAATACCTATTGAGATGTTTCAACATATGGATGTAGCACTAGAGGCACTTGTTTATGCCAAAAAATTTGGAAGAGAGCAACCTGGCCAACTGACTGGAAGAGATCCATATTTATGCCCATTCCAAAAAAGGTGATGTAACAAAATGTGGAAATTATTGAACAATATTATTAATGTCACATACAAGTAAAACTTTAGAACTGCCAGAAATTTAGGACAGATCAGAAGAAAGCATGGAATGAGGGATATCATTGCTAATATCAGATGAATTGTGGCTGAAAGCAAAGAATATAAAAAATATGCTTACTTGCATTTTATTGATTATGCAAAGACATTTGACTGTGCAGATCATAACAAATTATAAATCACATTATGAAAAATGGGAATTCTACAGCATTTAATTGTGCTCATGAGAAACGTGTGCATAGACCAAGAGGCAGTCATCAGAACAGAATGAGGGGGCAGTGAATAGTTTAAAATCAGGAAAGGTGTGCATCAGGGTTGTGTCCTTTCACCATACATATTAAATCTATATGCTGAACAAATGTACTGAGAAGCTGGACTATATGAAGAACTGGGCATCAGGATTAGAGGAAGACTCATTAACAACCTGTGGTATGCAAAAGACACAACCTTGCTTGCTGAATGTGAAGATGACTTGAAGCACTTACTGATGAAGATCAAAGACTGTAGTCTTTGGTGTGGATTATATCTCAACACAAAGAAAACAAAAATTCTTACAACTCAACCAATATGCAACATCATGATAAATGGAGAAGAGATTGAAGTTGTCAAGTATTTCATATTACTTGGATTCACAATCAGTGCCCATGCACACAACAGCCAAGAAATCAGACGTATTGCACTGGGCAAAACTGCTGCAAAAGTCCTTTTTAAAGTGTTAAGGAGTAAAGATGTTGCTTTGAAGATTGAAGTGTGCCTGATCTAAGCCATGGTATTTTCAATAACCTTACATACTTGTGAAAGCTGGGGAATGAATATGGAAGACTGAAGAAGAATTGATGCATTTAAATTGTGGCATTGGTGAAGAATACTGAAAATACTATGGACTTCCAGAAGAATGAACAAATCTGTCTTGGAAGAAGTACAATGAGAATGCTCCTTAGAAGCAAGAATGGCCAGACTTCATCCCACATATTTTGGTCATGTTGGCAGAAGGGACCAGTCCCTCTAGAAGGATATCGTGCTCAGTAAAGTAGAAGGTTGAGCAATCTACCGTAGTGATACTGCCTCAGCAACCCAAGAAGGGGTTGCTATGAGTCAGGGCTGACTCGATGGCACATAACAACAACAAAGTAGAGCATCAGTGAAAAAGGGGAAGATCCTCAATGAGATGGAATGACACAATGGCTGCAATGATTGGTTCAAGCATAGCAAAGATTATGAGGATGGCAAATGACCATGAAATGTTTGATTCTATTGTACATAGCATTGGTATGAGTTGGAGCCAACTCTACAGCACCTAACAATAACAACAACATCTGACCAGTAATCTTGTTCTTTTTTTTTTTTTTTTTTTTTAATGTTTTTGAATTTAGTTCCACACTAATTCTCTCTCACTCTATTCAGGATCTCCAATTTTGGTCCTTTTCCAAGTGGTTAGCATTGATAGGTGGACACCATCTAGTTTCTCTGGTCTCAGGATCCCATAGGGTGAGGTTCCCATGGTCCAGTGTTTCCATGTGTCTCTGATTTTCTTCACTCTTCTTTGCTCCAGACGAGTAAATACCAATATTGCATCTAAGATGGACACTTGCAAG